TTCTAAGTGATGCAACATTGCCCGACGAATTATTTATTGAATGGCGAATGTTATTTTGTAGTTATATACTTCATTTACAAATTGTTCTTATTTCCATTTTCTATATCTTCCTCATTAATATAAATTGTTTTCTTTACTTGAAGAAAACTATCTGTACTTAATCTATAGTTCGCTAGAGAGATTAATCAGCTTCACCATCACCATCAGCAGTAGCATCACCATCTTCTTTTTTTCCTTCTTTTTCTTCTTCTTCTTGTTCTTCTTCTTGTTCTTCTTCTTCTTCATAATGATGATGATCATCATCATCATCGTCTTCGTCGTCGTCGTCATCATCAACATCATCATCATCGTCGTCGTCGTGGTCGTCGTCGACATCATCATCATCAACATAATCGTCATCGTCATCGCATTGAAACGTGGTTTAAATCTACATCGTCAATACCATTTTAACATGCCAGGTAACATAATATATCACTATCACCATGTGTAAGTTATTGAAATTACTATCACAATAACCAGCATCCTTCGTTCTTGTGTTGCATTCCAAAAGAACAGGAAGATATATAAACTTGATTCACCCCATTGTTCCGGTGACAACAATTACATGCATACCACCACAGGCTTGACACAGTTTTACTGACCATGTCCTTCAACATGCCATCATGTGACCTTTGACATCAACCAATTCTTTTATGTCCTGCAGTGGGCCAAACAATGGGAGAGTTAATGAGCGGCCATTTAGAAGCATTCCAACATTGTTTTGTTTCGGGGAAATTCTAGCTTTTCTCATTGACCTAATTTTGTTTTGCGTCATTTGGCCACACCGTCAGATAGAAGAGTAAAAAGGTCAAGATTGGAGTGGCATGCTTGAACTCGCATCACGTATGACCGATAATGGCGAAACTGTGTCGATGACACAACAGAAGACAGATTGAAGTATTAAGTGTCTCAAGGTACATCATACAGGTACATCAAGGTACGTATACATCTCGTCTTTGTTTAGTTTCTTTGTTGTTTAACGACACACACAGCAATATTTAAGCTATATGATGGCGGTCTGTAAATAAGTGCTGCGTTGGGGTAGCCCAGTGAATAAAACGTTCGCTCGTCACGCCGAAGGCCCGGGTTCGATTTCCCACATGGGTACAATGTGTGAAGCCCATTTCTGGTGTCCCACGCCATGATATTACTGGAATATTGCTAAAAGCGGCGTAAAACCATACTTACTCACTCACTGTTTAACGACACACACAACAATATTTAAGCTATATCACGGCGGTCTGTAAATGATGGGGCGTAGGGGTAGCCTAGTGGTTAAAGCGTTCGCTCGTCACGCCGAAGACCCGGGTTCGATCCCCGACATGGGTACAATGTGGGAAGCCAATTTCTGGTGCCCCCGCCGTGATATTGCTGGAATATTGCTAAAAGCGACGTAAAACCATACTCACTCACTCATTTATAATTTGAATGCACAGAATACGCCGGGGCATGGGCAATTACACCTGTTTGTAAACATATGTAAACGGCCGAGGAAAAGAAAGTATATAGTTTGATGTTGTCACTCACTCACTCACTCACCCACTCACCCACCCACCCATCCACTCACTCACTCACTCACTCACTCACTCACTCACTCACTCACTCATTCTGGACACTACACTGAGCTACATGCGAGGAGATACCACCTGGCATACATCCATACATGCTAGAGCATGTGTAGTTTCGAGATCAACTAACAGTAAGGATGTCATTTACCCTCTTGTTTGGAACAGTCAAATAAATAATTGATTAGTGCCGTGTCAGACTCTATCGTTGAGCTGTTCAATGTTGAACTAACTCTTCCCTCACTGTCGAGCAGCGTAGCAGCAATATTTGGGACCTGTCTTCATATTTGTCTCCGTGGTGAAGTGCACAACATTGTTGATCCGGCGTCAGGGACGACGGTAGTTTCGTTTGAGACGTCAACTCAGTTACTTTATATAATTATTTGAAGTGTTAGTACATGACCTAGATTTGTATTTTTTACTGTTATTCGTTTGCTTAGTTCTGCACCATGACTGTGGGATATATTTATTTTATGAACACAAAATCTAGATTTATATTAAAACAAATTTAGCCAGCTCTATTCCAAATCACTATCAGGATAATTATTTGTTTGAATTTTAGAGGAGAGACATGTATTGAGTAATATAAGATTTCATAGACTATGTGTTAGTGAATCGTTTTCTTTGAGTGAATAAATTGTGTTTCTACTTATTGTAATTATCAGGGGTTCGTGTAAGTGGGAAAATACTTTTAGAATTAAAGAAAGAAACATTTTTTTCAGATTAAGGCAATAAGCAACGTAAGGTAGTTTTATACATGTTTCATCTTAGTTTCTTTCCCATCAACGATACAGTTACCAGGGAAGTTAAATTCATTTCATTCGTGGAAATATTCGTCGCCTGACTATTCATCATGATGTGTCAAAATTGAGATAATCATGTGCCTGAACCCAATAGTATCGTGTGCCTGAATCCAATAGTATCATGTGCCTGAACCCAATAGTATCGTGTGCCTGAATCCAATAGTATCATGTGCCTGAATCCAATAGTATCGTGTGCCTGAATCCAATAGTATCATGTGCCTGAACCCAATAGTATCATGTGCCTGAATCCAATAGTATCGTGTGCCTGAATCCAATAGTGTCGTGTGCCTGAATCCAATAGTATCATGTGCCTGAACTCAATAGTATCGTGTGCCTGAATCAAATAGTGTCACGTGCCTGAATCCAATAGTATCATGTGCCTGAACCCAATAGTATCACGTGCCTGAACCCAATAGTATCGTGTGCCTGAATCCAATAGTATCATGTGCCTGAACCCAATAGTATCGTGTGCCTGAATCCAATAGTATCATGTGCCTGAATCCAATAGTATCGTGTGCCTGAATCCAATAGTATCATGTGCCTGAACCCAATAGTATCGTGTGCCTGAATCCAATAGTATCATGTGCCTGAACCCAATAGTATCATGTGCCTGAATCCAATAGTATCGTGTGCCTGAATCCAATAGTGTCGTGTGCCTGAATCCAATAGTATCATGTGCCTGAACCCAATAGTATCGTGTGCCTGAATCAAATAGTGTCACGTGCCTGAATCCAATAGTATCATGTGCCTGAACCCAATAGTATCACGTGCCTGAATCCAATAGTATCATGTGCCTGAATCCAGTAGTGTCATGTGCCTGAATCCAATAGTTCCATGTGCCTGAGTCCAATAGTATCGTGTGCCTGAATCCAATAGTATCATGTGCCTGAACCCAATAGTATCCTGTGCCTGAACCCAATAGTATCAAGTGCCTGAGTCCAATAGTATCGTGTGCCTGAATCCAATAGTATCAAGTGCCTGAGTCCAATAGTATCCTGTGCCTGAATCCAATAGTATCAAGTGCCTGAGTCCAATAGTACCATGTGCCTGAATCCAATAGTATCAAGTGCCTGAGTCCAATAGTACCATGTGCCTGAATCCAATAGTATCATGTGCCTGAATCCAATAGTATCATGTGCCTGAATCCAATAGTATCATGTGCCTGAATAGAATAGTATCATGTGCCTGAATCCAATAGTATCATGTGCCTGAATCCAATAGTATCATGTGTTTCATTTATACATAAGCATGTGGTTCATTTATACGTAAGCATGTGTTTCATTTATACGTAAGCATGTTTCATTTATACATAAACATGTTTCATTTTTACATAAGCATGTTTCATTTTTACATAAGCATGTTTCATTTATACATAAGCATGTTTCATTTTACATAAGCATGTGTTTCATTTATACGTAAGCATGTTTCATTTATACATAAACATGTTTCATTTTTACATAAGCATGTTTCATTTTTACATAAGCATGTTTCATTTATACATAAGCATGTTTCATTTTACATAAGCATGTGTTTCATTTATACGTAAGCATGTTTCATTTATACATAAACGTGTTTCATTTTTACATAAGCATGTTTCATTTTTACATAAGCATGTTTCATTTAACATAAGCATGTGTTTCACTTATACGTAAGCATGTTTCATTTATACATAAACATGTTTCATTTTTACATAAGCATGTTTCATTTATACATAAGCATGTTTCATTTTTACATAAGCATGTTTCATTTTTACATAAGCATGTTTCATTTATCCCTGATATTTGAAATCCCAGGACTGTCCATCTCGGACATCCATCATGACTTGTGGCCTCCCTCCCCTCCGTGAAGCACGCCCCATTGTGCCCTCCCTATCTGTGTTGCCCGGCCCCGAGCGGCCACCTGCCAAGGGGACCTGTTTGTATTCCGGCGACGAGGGAGGGGTTATCATCTGCCGTTAGGGAATGCTTGAATCTTTTTCTGTTTTTTCATGTTTGTGTTTAATATTTGTTAGGGAGCATGCGTAAACAGTTACTTTCCTGTGTGTAATATTTCATGTTTGTATTTCCCCCATTTGTCGATACCATTCGGTGAATCACTCGGTTGTAAGATCACGAAGAATCGCACCAGCACAAAGAGGGGGTGATAAAAGCTACGTACATTCAAGGTCTTGTTAGTGAACTGGAAGGAGAGTTTATAAGTAGGCTAACACAACCACCCTTCCCATGCCACATACAAAGACGCCGGCCTAATTATCACATTCACAATACAGATTTCCCCAGGAAATGCTGTACGTGTAATTTCCTCTAATGTGAAGCTTGCTACAATTAGCGGCTCTGGCGTAATAGAAATCGGCTCGGACAATAACGATTATATCAAGATGATGCGGTGTTGACACCTGGCATTGTAGGACACATGTCGGGGACCCAGAATGCTGCACATCCCCCGCGCTGGGACGCTGGGCTGACATCTAGGCGGGAGGGAGGGAGGGAGGGAGGGAGAGGGGGGGAGGAGGGGGCTTGAGAATTTGTTATGAAGCCTTGACGATTCAGCCAATGAGGAGACGGGACGGAAGACTATAAAGCATGACGTTACGCACACGACGCTACTCTGGCACGCTTGGTCATGAAGAACGGAATCATGCAGGAAAATTTCGAGGATTTGGTGAGCCCCAACTTATGGAGGGCGTTGGCTGCCGAGACGTTCGGCACCCTGTTCGTCGTCCTTTTGGGGTGTGGGTCCTGGCTCAACTGGACTGACCCCCATAATCCCACCGTTGTTCAGATCTCCCTAACTTTCGGTTTTGCCGTCGGGACGATGGTGTGGGCTTTCTTCCACATAAGTGGCGGTCACTTTAACCCTGCCGTCACCGCTGCCACCCTCGTCACCCGACGCGTCAGCATCGTCAGGGGGGTACTCTACATGATCGCTCAGTGCCTGGGTGGAATCCTAGGGGCGGGTATTCTGTATGGACTGACACCTACTAGCATGAGAGGGACCCTTGGTTCCACGGTGTTGAAGAACGGCGTCACCGCACCCCAAGGATTCGGGGTAGAGTTGATTATTACCTTTGTATTGGTGATCGCTGTGTTTGCCTCTAATGACGGGGTGAGGAAGGATCTCCGTGGCTCGGCCCCTCTCACCATTGGCTTGGCTGTCGCTGTGTGCCACTTGTTCGCCGTAAGTACAACTTTTTTAACGTCACTTCTTGAGAGAGTTCTTACATTTCAACCCATATTGCGTTTTACCAAAACTTTTTAAAAACGGTGCTTGTGAATGATAATTATTAAAATATAGTTAACAAGCATCATTTATGATTTCATTTTCTTATGACAACTATAAACAATTATGATAGCCAGGATTCTGATTTTTTTCATAGACATTCAGTGCTGAATGTAAAACTCTATAATATTTAAGTTTTACAGAATAATTAAAAAATTATTTGAGTGTTAATATATGATTTATTTTCATTTTCATTTTCATTTTGTAAAATTATATGTCTGTCGATTACGTTTTGGTAGTTAGAACTCGCTAACAGTACACTACTCATTTCTATATGATCCCTTGTCAATCAATTAAGCGGTCCTTTTAATGTATGGTGGAAGATGCAACACGTATCAAATCCGTTCACAGGATACATGTCGCCTCCATTACCATAGCATACACCCAAGCGGGTATTAATATATCATGTTCAAAGAGGTTGAGGTATCCGTCACATGTAGGCTTATTTGTCAGAGGTTTAAGCTTTCGTTGATAAAGCGGAACTAACAAATACTGAGGGTGCATGTGGGATTTAACGCGGAAGTAACAAACTTTTAGTTACCCATGGCGGGAGAAGTTTATTTTTCTCACAGATACCAAGCTTTTTTAAAACGAAAATCATTGTATCGTCAACAATATTGACTCTTTCGTTAATCAGATTATACATGCAACGGATAGGATTTTTCGTAGATAAACAGCCCCATAGATTAACACGGTCTGCATTGTGTAAACAGACTATTGCCTCTCTAACGTCAGTGTATTTGCTCTTATGTTAGGTAAGGATTTGATTCCTCTATGCAGTCAGGGGGTTCAAATGTAAATAGTGTTTTCCTGAAGTTATGAACGGTTAAAGTACACACCCCTTGCCAAAACAATAGCATAAGTAGAACTATTTTTGTTATTTTCGGACTGAAAGTATGGTTCGTTAAGAGGCGCTCAAATCACATCCTGTTCTTCATTAGAAATGGGTGTAGACTTCTGGGACAAATGAATAACTATCAAATATCGGGAAGATAAACTTCGACACGCCCAGTCAGCCATTGGGTGCAGCTGCCTCCTTGTCAACCCGTTTTCAAGATCTTGCAGCTTATCGCCGATTTTCAGCCATGTTTTACACAGTGACTTCAATGTCAAGATAGATTGGTAAAAAAAAAACAGCAGCCCTTTCATTCGATTATATCAACCGGGGACGGGTCGAATTTCTATTTATGCGATAGGGAGTAGGTTTGAACGGGTCTGTCATAGATGAAAGATAGCTTTTTGTATGTGCGTGAATTGGGAGACAAAAAACGAAGGTGTCAGATTACTGACCGCACAATGTCAAGATTTTGCTACTTTAGCTGCCTTGGGTGAATTTGTAAACGTTCGCGTCTTCGGAAGCGCAAACTGGAGGGAAAATAAACAAAGTGGCGTCTCGGTTGTCGGTGGTTGTAAACATGTGGCGTTTGACAAGCGCCAGAGTAGGACCCGGATGTGGCTAACGTCGGACCAATGTGACGTCTGAACGTTACATCATCGTATGCCCCTGGTTTTAACGACGGCTTTGTGTGAGAATGGAGAGAGTTCCCGCGCCTATTTGATCACTAAGCCTCCACAAGGGTGTGAAGTGGACCTTTCCGCTTTTTATGCGTTAATGAGATCAGAGTTGTTTTCACAACTAATTCCATGTGTTCAAAAGAAGCACCTCTTAATAAGAGCGCGCAATAGTTTGAAGTCAACTAATTGATTCAGAGCGTTCCCTCTAAAAGCGAATTTATATGAAATATTAAAGTCTTTATTTTAGAACATCGTGATTTAATGTTTACTGAGTTCGTGAATGATAAATCGTGTTCAGAATTTGTTTTCTTAAACCATACTACTGTTTCAAAGACTAATTACACAATGAATCACAATGAAACACTCTTGAAACTGACTGATCTGTCAGTTCAATAATCGCGGTCCCTCATTGGTCAGTTTCAAATCTCCATGACGACATCTCTCTCCCGGGTAGTATCACTGACAGTCCCGGGCGGCTTTGATCCCATCTCTGGCTTCTGTCTGGGCCCGGAGAAACACTGAGGGGTTGGGTGAGGAGGGGAGGAATTCAGTGAGTGACGCGCGGGGAGGGAGGGAGGGAGGTGGGGGGTAGTGATCCAGAGCGGCCGCGGGAGGGTAGGGACGCTAGAAGTAGGTTAGGTGGTTACACTGAGCACGCGATTGTGTACCCCCCCCCCCCCCCCCCCCCCCCCAAACACCTGCCATGAATACCTCCTTCACGTGCGGCTTACGCCCGCGGGGGGGAGGTACAATCTTGTGGGAGAATTAACAAAGCTGGCACCCATAAATCAAATACTTTTGTCTCTCAATCAGTTATTCACGAAAGCGTAAAAGTCCCCCTTGTATTGATCCCGGTGTTCTGCTTGAGCGGATGGATTTTCTAGGTCAGACGAAAAAAAACACACAGGCCGTGGTCTAATGACAGGGTATCTATGACAAAGATATTATTTTCAAACTTGCGTTTGAGGACCAAGATTTTTTTTTTAAAATTCAAGGATGCTGCATCATCTCTATTCGTATATGATATATTTAAATCAGTCTATGAGAAGATTGTGAAATATATTCTGTTAAAGCTATTATAATATTAATCTTATTTCATTATGTGTACTTTTTTAGCTGCTACTGTTACGTTAGTGTATCTCACAGTGTCCCTGAACTTGTTTCCGTCAAGATTATATATTTTCAGAGAATAAGCGTTATGCTACTACTACTACTACTACCACAATAACGACTATAACTACCACAATAACGACTACTACTACTACCACAATAACGACTACTACTATTACAACTACATTTACTACTACTACTACTGCTACAAAATCAGTCGTTACTACAACCAAATCCCATTTAAAAATATATACATGAATTTGTAAATATTTAGTAAATACAATTTTTCAATAACTGATTTATTTTTATACGTGGTGTTTGATGTGAGATTTATAAAATCACTTTCCGAAAAATCAATTCATCAACAAACACCAAACAATGAAACCTCCTTGACAAAGACCCCTATCTTCTTTGTCCATCATTAATCTCGCACCATTGTTTCCCATTCACTGAGTCACGTTCACTCTACAACCATGTTTTCCCTGCCACGCCCCCTTGACCCCTCAACCATGACCCCCAGACTCGAGTGGCGTACATTTCAAAATGTGGGCGTGAAACGAGATTCCTGGCTTCCTATCTAAATTAGATTTAGCTTCTGGCGACTGGAGTTTTCAATTGCACTTTGTGAGATTAGGCCGCGTTGTTTTCAAGGCCACAGAGGGCTCTTTGTTCTGTGTGAAGGAAATTTGGGAATTTTTGTTGTTATAAAAACATATGCTCAAATACTGAACTATTTTCGTTACATAGGGCATAGCTATATGGGAGGCAGTCTACTTGACGACATTGGTATAAATAGTCCCTAATTATCATTTCCTGTTGTTAATCGCCCTTTCACTGACCTTGCGGTTTGCACGATATCCAAGCAAATATTGAAATATAATGATGGTTAATATTTTGATTACTGGGGGCTGTTGGGATAGCTCCGTATGGACGCGGTGAAGGTTTGCTGTGACTCTAATGAGCCCAAATCCTACGAGTGATCTTGCTTCTGTTGTGAAGTCATAGTTTACAATTGTTCTGATGACGTCACATGCAATATCTGTTGGGAGTATATTCTTTATGTACACCCCTTTATTTCATAACCACAACCTCATCCTCAGTGGCATTCGTCACCACTCGCCCGTTTCCGTAGCCTGAAAGAAGACTCGTTCCCCTATCGATAAAAGTTCTGTGCGAAATTACGACAAACCAATCAGAATGCGCTTATGACTTGAAGTACTTTGGTCAAAGAATCTCTCAGGAATAGTTTTTGCTTTTGCATATGTCTTGCATCTACAAATATACCCAAGATACAGTTCAATGTGTTCAATCATACTGTATAATTCCAGATGTGTTTCAAATAGCTTTTGCAATATATAAGACATATGGGGGAAATATTCGTGAATCATTACACAACGAGTTGACAAAAGTTTTAGCCATGCCCATTTGCGCTTAGACGGAACCCAGTCGCACAAATTGGCAACTCAAACAAGTACCAATTTATTTCTGAATTAAAATATTCAATGTAATGTAAAATAACAATATTCCTTATTTGGACTTTTGGTTATTTTTTTTGCCTGTCTTGTTAAAATACAGATATATAAACTTACAACGCATAAGTCGATTTACAATGGTGCTAACATGTGGGGTTTTCATATTTGTCGTAAAGTACTTTACATATACAGTAAACTACGGTTATAACGAACTCAAAGGGACTACTAATTTTAGTTCGTTATAACCGTAGTTCGTTATAAGTACAAATACAGCACGACTACAGCAAGTAGTCGGGACCAAAAAGTAAGTTCGTTATATCCGTCAGTTCGTTATAACCGTAGTTTACTGTAACAATCTCCATAAGGATACAAGAAGATGTTAACTATCTTACAGTGATTTTTCAAGACATGCAATTGCTTTCTCTGAACAAAATAGTCAACAATTTATTTGTTATCCCAAACACATTTTTCTGGCCTTCCAGCATACACTATTCCTTTGTTGGTAAAACCAAGGCAAATTTTTTCTGGAACAAATTCCTTTAAGCTAGTTCTTCCATTTGAAACATGGAACATATTTAATAAATTATAACACCACTTCTGTAACATGAATCCCTGCTATTCCTCAACAGGTTTGTTATGACAGTGTTGTGTTACACGCCCAATAGAACGGACTTACAAGAAACACCTGTTATAACACGTGTACAACCGATCACCACTTACGCCCATCGCTCAAACATAACATATCTACGCAAGCTACGGACCACTGTGTCAAAGATTATGACCCGAATGAAAAAACAATTATCCTGAACGTGAAATCCTTAATGGCAATACCAGAGCAAGTTAGGACCATAAAAAGACGAAACGTTGCAACCGAGTTCATTATTGGAGACATGTGTTAACCGGCGCTTCTGATATCCAATCGGAATGCCTGATAGTTTGTTAATGTAGAACCAGAGACGTAGGAATATTTCTGTGTCATTAAGCATAAGGTTACCTTTTCAATTCCATTCATATTTCCGGGTAATAAACATTGCCCTCAGTGGTATTGATAAACTAAATAAACATAATGGTCTGTGAAAAGCAATCTTGGTGTGGATCTTAATGTAAAATGGTAATGTTGGCGATACGCTTATACCACATATTTTATTCTCGATTGAACGCGGTGGAGTGAGCGTTTTATCAGATTGGCCGCTCGGTAGGGAGGGTCGGTATCCGGAGATAGGAACATAGGAATCCATTGAAGTTCCCTTCATAAATCATCCATTATCAAGTTTATGTGCTAACATTACATTGGCACCCGCTGACGTCATCCCTGATTACACATGGTACTATACTTCCATGTTATTTTTGTTTGTTCTTAACGCCACACTCAGCAATATTCCAGCTATATGACGACGGTCTGTAAATAAAGTCTGAACTAGACAATCCAGTGATTGACATCATGAGCATCGATCCATGCAATTGGGATACAATGACATGTATCAACCAAGTCAACGAGCCTGGCCACCCGACCTGTTAGTCGTCTCTTGCGACAAGCGAAGTAGCCTTTTACGGGTAGCATGGATTGCTGAAGACCAATTCTAAACCGGATCTTCACGGGTTCCATTTTGTTATGATAAATACCCTTATTACTACAGCTTACTTTCGAGGTCGATTCGAATTGTAAGACGCTAAAATTAGTTGTCCAATCAAATTGCTCTCATGAGCGAGAGAAATTCTGTGCATGGTTAGAGATAGAAGCGATTTAACTTTCGAAACGTTGGTGGCGTAATTATCATGATGGAATGGTGATAAAATACGCTAGACAATTAAGTATGACTGTTGTAGGCTGACTATAAACTTAAATAATTGCATTGTGCATACTTATTCACTTTTGCACCAAAACTTATGAATTACCTGTGGTAGTTGTGTTAAACGTTCACGGTTATACCGAATCAGTGCACTATAAGCATCAATAGCCAACATTTAACGAATTCGATTAAATCCTGTTATTTGGTTTGGTTTGGTTTGTTGTTTTAATAACATAACCTTTGAACTCATTGGAAGTTCTCTTTTCCAGATTCCCTTCACAAGCTCTGGTCTGAACCCTGCAAGGAGCTTTGGTCCTGCGGTAATCGTTGGCGGATGGGCTGATCACTGGGTATGTATTTCTTTGTTGTTTTACGCCGCACTCATCAAAACTTCAGCTATATGACGTATTTGTACATAATCGAGTCTGGACCAGGCAAACAATTGATTAATATTACACGCAGCGATCCACGCCGTCAGGGCACGATGGAACACATTCAAACGTGAATGACCTCTCTATCTACTTGGTCGCATCTTACGGACAGCATTAGTTGCTTGGAGCCCCGAAACCCGGAAACCTGGAATCTCTGGGGAAATCTATCAGCACGGGTATGCAGACAAGAATGGGACTCGAACCCACGATAATAGGATTTAGTGAGTGAGTGAGTGAGTTGGGTTTAACGCCGCTTTTAACAGTATTCCAGTTATATCACGGCGTGTCAGCTTCATGTGGGAGGAAAGCCCGAAGTGATGCAGGTCTCAGACGTTTACCACTTTGGTGAATCCCACGAGCACGGGTATGGTGCTGACAAACCTAAGAAACATAATCTGGGCGAACCGAGATTCGAAACCACAATCATGGGTTTCTGGCGTGTCGCAACGCAACTCTGCACAGCGAATCGCGGCGCCTTAGACGACTGGGCCACCCGTGCCCTTCTAATAGGTTTTAGCACGCCTAAAAGACGCGACTGTGCACAGCCAATTGCGCCCCCAAGACAGCTAGGCCACCGGTCCCTAGGTACATTCAGAATTCGTACCTCATTTTAGATGACATTTCGTACGATTCCCTCATTAACATGTTTATTATATCGTGTTTTTTAAATAATAAATTAATCAAAAGGTAGCTTCGTCGGAAATCGGAAGTCTCAAAGCGACAGATGGAACATTAACTGCCTGCTTCTTCCGTCGACCGCTTGTTCCCGCATGCAATTATCCCAGATGAAGACGGGCATTCATCACCCTTGCTGTCTCTATTAACACCAGGTCAATTATGTCCACCATACCTGCAACACATCAATGCCACAGCGCTCTTCTCGGACAGGCCCCCCACCAGAACGTACCTTTACATCTCCATCCTCATCTACTGCTGATGTTTATGTCTCTGTATACCGCACTGACGGTACTCGCAAACATAATTAGCCTCTGTTGTTTCATCTGGAAGGACCACCCCCTTCTGTTTCATGTAGAAGGACCACCCCCTTCTGTTTCATGTAGAAGGACTACCCCTTTTTGTTTCATCTTGGACCGCCCCCTTGCCCAACTCCTCCCCGTTCTTCTACAAGAACTGAGAATGTATTTCATGCATTTTGAGAAAAGCACTTTTGGAATTTGTAATATGGCTTCAACGCAAGCATCTTGTACAAAGGCCGATGACCTATATCCTACAAATGGAGACATCTGAATTACATTAGATATATGAGGCGGTGGGGTAGCCGAGTGGTTAAAGCGTTTGCTCGTCACACCCAACACTAGGGTTCGATTCCCCACATGGGTACAATTTGTGAAGCCCATTTCTGGTGTCCCCCTGCATGAAAGTGATGTAATATTGCGGCATAAAACAATGCTCACTCACAGCATTAGATGTAAAATGTCGCATGCCTGTTCACATCCCTGCACCACAACCTTACATCTCCCCTCCCATTTGCCTCCACCTCATCGACCCCCCCCCCCCCCCCCCCTCAATATTTGCACTACATTATATCCCTGGGAAATGTTACATTTCCTTGCCTGTCTCAAGCCCGGCTCCCCACCCTTGGGCGCGTCCGTACGTTAATATTTTTTGCCTTGCATCGACAAGCAAACAAGTAGTCCGGAATTTAATTACCAGTATCAGTTTCATACACCGTTCCGCGTTTAGCTAGAGTAACGGCTCACTAAATCATTCTCAGCAAATTTTCCCGCCAAGCCACATAACTCCAACGACCTAGGAAAATTGTCGCACAATATTTGAACTGAGTACTGTGTCCACAGGCGCAAAATGAAACAATGCCAGTATGTTCAGACGCTTTGTGCGGTGTTTCTCAAACACACTACGCCTTGTCATCCAGCGGATTTGGAAACAATGCTTGAACAAAAGATATGAGTTGAATATTATAATTCATGATAGGCGAAAAAAATACTTTAGTTTCAGGTAAACGCCGACCCATTGTCTCACTCGGGAACCTAATGGATTTTATCACAGCTGGAGAATCGACTAAGAGACCCATACTTTACATTTGGCAACAGAATCGGATGTTGAAATACTTTACAACTAGCATCATATCTAAACATTATTAATAATTGAATTTTAAAAAAATACCTACCTATACCGACCTATATATGTATGCAACATATGCATGCAACCTGGCAAGTATTTAGTTTGGCCTTTACCACTCCGTTTTTTAGATAATCATGTTAATCTATGCAGCTGATAAGTACCAACTTTGTCTCAGGAAAAGGGAAGGTAGTCGGTCTTGTACAAGGTTTTTTTAACACGCGCCGCACATTTGATTGAACATTTCGAGGGTTTATATACTTGAATGGCATGAAATCAACTTCACGAATCGAAAGTTCTTTAATGAATGAATTAAAAGCTATTTAGTTTTATTAGCTTCCAAGCAAAAACCTCGACATAGAATATTTATTTATTCGACAATTTATACTGAGAACCCTGTTTATTCGAACAGTACAGTTTCTTTGGAACTAATCCAGATTAACAAATAGCCGGATTAACAGAGTAATTTCCTTTGTACATATGTTGCGCTCATTGGTTTAGGGTGCTCCTGGGCTAACAGGGTGTGGGGGTGGGGTGTGCACCTGGGCTGACGGCGTGTGGGTTGTGGATGTGCCCATGAACTTACGGGGTCTAGTACAAGTCTTTAAATGTGATTTAACCGTTAAAACAGAACTGGCAACCACACCTGTTTTACTATACATTTAGTAAGCCCACGACACCATGGTTATCAGAGAATAGTCGCGAAGATGAGACAGATAATATACTTAATAACTTGAGCATTTGTCTTTTCTGGTCAAGTAACATGTTCACCTCATCTCGCGGCCTGACAAGTTGATATTTGCACTCATCGCTGCGCCAATCCTGAAGGTAGCAACTTTGCCTCGTCTCTCGACGATATAAACATGTTATTTGACAAGAAAAATACAAATATATATCTATAACATATACATCTCACTACAAGAGGTAATTTCCGGTGCATCACTGAATACGAAATCTTTGATTAAAGAAGAATGCGTGGCATACTTTACAACGATTGAAAAACCCATAAACAAACTGGCGGAAAACCACGTGTTCTCGATAGAGTGAAGACAAGGGTAATCTAAACACACACACACACACACGTGGGTATCCTTCGTACTACGTCATGCTACATTTCAGAAGCATTCGCGGACAAGTACACGACACTAGAACTGTCCCATAAAAGATAATCGTGAGTTACACTAGCACTGGAAACGAGGTCCGTTATATGTGTGCGAATTACCAGCCAAGGCCATATGGGGTGGTCTTATCTTGTGGAGATAGGCGCCCTCCCGACCCCGGTAAACATACATTTCCGCTAGGGGGCGCTGACTACGAGCCGCATGTACTTACGCATGTTTTTGTCAGAAAGCATGGGTGTCTTGTGTTTACAAGATTGTACAACTGTTTAGATTTTCCTTTTGTCGAGTAAACTTAAAGCCAAGGTTAAGATTTTTGTTGATGTTGAAAGCGAACGCAAGGACAACTGGAGAATTTTATGCAGCCCTTTGAGCCGGTGATAAAACCCCGCCTTGGCGCATAAATTCCCAACATGTGTTGCGGGTCATGTCTCATGCTTGTAAATTCGTGATAACAAGTAGATAGCCGATGCTGTTTTTCTGTTTTTGAAAAACAAACACACCCTTGTGAGTTTATTTCTCAGTGTCTAAATATTTTATAACATCTGCAGACCAAATTAAACATTCGTTTTTTTTTATTAATTTCCTGGACATTTTATTTTCTGTCTCAGCATTTCGCCCTCAATTCTTTCACACACTCAGGACGATTTATTAATTTCCTACATGTGAACGAAAAAGCTACACAACAAACACAAATATGACGAATTGTTTATACAGACATTCTGCACATATTTAATTGTGCTGACACAATACATGCATATGTCTAAAAGGTGTCATGTTTCAAAAGAATTCGAAATATATTATCTCAGAAAACACATTTTCGATTCAAAGTCTACCACCACCTTACGTACAGGAACCCGACGTCCGTGCCTCCGGTAGAATAAACAGTGCCCCCTACACCTCACCCTTAAATCGTAGTGAAGAATTAGGTCTTATTACAAAATTCACATGCATATTACAAATTGGTTGCAGCACAATCCACTCTGTGGCCCCGCAACATAATTCGAACATATACTGAAGAATGAAGTAAGGGAACATCAATATTTTTGGGATATCTTTTGTAGTAAAGACTCAGCACACAGTTTCATTAAAATGCCCCCAAAATATTCATGATTCCTAAAAAAAATTGTTCTGTAAAAACATATAATGAAGTCGTTAGTACGCCATCTTTAAATGAATTTAGAAGCTGGAGTATCAGTGACGTAAAACGTGATATGGTTTCTTTTCATTTATTTGGTTGATAATGTCGACCAGCAGATGAAAGCAGGTTTCAATAATACTCGCACATGTATTCATACTTGAAACTAGTGTAAGTGGTTCCGTATGTCGAGGCGCTGATGTATTTCTTAAAGGAAGGCATCGAACGACACACATAGGCTGGAAGACACGTTCACGTGCACTAAATACATGACAATGGAATTCCCTTCTCCCACACATCAGTGTCACACCTACTACTTTATAAGAACGTGATTGAACGTATGTCCAAAAAAGGACTGGGCAGGAAAAAAACTAAATTAAAAACCTAACTTTTGCACAATATAATATGCCTCTTTTTGGCAGTGAGAGCGCTTTGAATAAGCGCGCACTTGTTATCTCATAATATAATATAATATAATATAATATAATATAATATAATATAATATAACATAACATAACATAACATAACATAACATAACATAACATAACATAATTATATAATATAATATGATATGATATGATATAATATAAAAAGCGCTAAATTGTTACTTTTAAATAATAATAGAATAAGTGTTATTACATTGTTAACTTATTCCTTGTGTATTTCTTTCCAGATCTACTGGGTTGGGCCAATCGTAGGGGGCGTTGTCGCTGGTCTATTGTACGAGTACGTCTTCTCTGCCGGTGCCACCGTCGCCCAGGCCAAGAAGTGCCTCCTCCGACACAAGCAGTCCTACACCCCTGCCCAGACGGAGGTGGACCCCATCATAGAGGCGGAAGAAGGCGCCAAGACTGAGCTCGTTGAAATGAACGACACACAGAACACTCAGAACTCTATCGAAGAAAAGGACGAGAAAATTGAAGAGAAAGTCAAATTGACGGAAGAAAACGAGAAAGAATAAACACCACGTCACGACTAGAACATTTTCAAATTTCTGAACTCCACACATTGGCGCTCTGTATTGTTTTGTATACCGTGTCCATGTCTGCGGTGGTGTGCGGAGTTCAAGTTCGTGTTACGTTGGAAAGGTCCAACTGCGCATGTGCGTACAAACACATTGGAACAAACGTTCATTTAGCGAATATTATCAAAACATGCTAGACCAACAAGGATTTGTTCCTGAATGCCGAATGTTACATTCACTGAAAAGAAAAAATACAACCTTTTCTAAATTAAAAAGAAAAATCAAAATTTTAAACGTTGTATTCTTATAAAATCTACCTCTTTGATATTGTCGATAAGGATACATACTCGGGTGAGACTGTATCATGTATATAACAAATGCTATTACTTCGGTAAATGTACCCATGAAAAATTCATGGATCGGGCCCGAATGTCTATAAAGACACAATCATCCCCAGTCATACTCGAACTGCTGACAAAAAACATGGCAGCATCTCTATGTCGTTTTACAATCAACACGCAGATAATGCGATTCCAAAGTATTTTCCTATTGGTTTATATATCACCACCTGTCTCTGGTTTTCTAGTCTTTTATATTTTTCGTTTTTGCAGTTTGCTCAAAAATAGTCGACTCTAGGTCCGTGTAGTTTAGCAGTTTCGTCGTCAATACTTCACAAGAATTGTATAGATTTCCTCCTTCACCCTTCAACTCTGCGGTGTGGTCGCTATTATTCGCTAGCCAATCAAGCCACGGCCTGGTTCCAAGGAGTGTGAAACCAGCGAGTGCTCTGACCAATGAGCGCTCCGATTACATCGGCAATATTTCTCGTGCCACACGTGCTAGCTTGCGGCCATCCACTCAACACCTTGCCTCAAAATATCAGGCAACGGAAGGGTTCGCACGAAGTTCATGCACTGATTTATTGCACGCGGCCTGAGTTTATGACACGACTAAACATAGACACACGTCACTATTACACCCCGGACGGTGTATTCACGGGTGATGGAGGGAAGTATAACAGCCCGTGAAGAATTAACGATGGAGTGTATCTGGATGGTGCTTCAGACCCCTCAGCGGATACCGGCCAGTATTGTTAGTGCTCAACCTTATATTTATCATGGCCCCGACGTGTACAATGTAATTCATTGTGCAGCCAAGAGACGTTTGCATTTCTTGGTTAGGGGTCGTTGAAATTCGACTGCATCAATAGTCACTGTCTTTGTACCATACACATGTTATCATTAGAAGACGTTATCTATACGTTTGTCGTAGACCCATCCCATAACTCAGATCTTCATGACGTCATTGTAGTGTTTTCAAATGAAAGTACCCCTAGTACGAGATCATATGTACGTAGTATGTTTTAGTTAGATTATGTACTCTTTTGTTATGTAATAAACAGGTAATTTGTAAACTGTGTTGAGTTGTTGGAGTATGGGCTGTGAATGAATGTTGTTTAACGCCGTCCACAATAAGGTGAGGTAAGGTGAGGTGACATGGGGTTTAACGTCGCGTCCAAGAATATTGCACTTATATAGCGACGTGCATGCACGTGTGTGGCTGATGGTACTAGTCCGGACGAATATAGTGCTAGCCCACTGAGACACCATGTTTGTTTGTTGTTTAACGCCGCATTCAGCAATATTCCAGCTATCAATCCAGTGATTGACATCATGAGCACCGATCCACACAAATGGGATACGATGACATGCATCAACCAAGTCAGCGAGCCTGACCACCCGATCCCGTTACCTCCTCTTACTACAAGCGTAGTCGCCTTTTACGGCAAGCATGGGTTGCTGAAGTCCTATTCTACCCCGGAATCTTCACGGGTCCCACACAATTTGGATACGATGACATGCATCAACCAAGTCACCGAGCGTGACCACCCGATCCCGTTAGTCGCCTCTTAAGACAAGCGTAGTCACCTCTAACGGCAAGCATCTACCTGGATCTTCACGGCGCACGAAGACATGACATGTCACCAAGCTGATACCTGAAGTCGCCTACGTTGCAGGGTCCAAGTCTAACCGGGGATCCCCACTATGGTGTATCAGTTGCAATGAAAATAAATCAAAATGGGATAGTTAGTGTCTCTGTTTCCGCTTACAGAACCGTTTTCACACCTGGGCCCCGTTCCACAAAGCGATCTTAGCGCTAAGATGACCGTAACTCTCATACTTTAACACTGACTTACGGCAGACTTAGCGCTAAGATGACCGTAACTCCCATACTTTAACACTGACTTACGGCAGACTTAGCGCTAAGATGACCGTAACTCCCATACTTTAACACTGACTTACGGCAGACTTAGCGCTAAGATGATCGTAACTCCCATACTTTAACACTGACTTACGGCAGACGTAGCGCTAAGATGATCGTAACTCCCATACTTTAACACTGACTTACGGCAGACTTAGCGCTAAGATGACCGTAACTCCCATACTTTAACACTGACTTACGGCAGACTTAGCGCTTAGATGATCGTAACTCCCATACTTTAACACTGACTTACGGCAGACTTAGCGCTAAGATGACCGTAACTCCCATACTTTAACACTGACTTACGGCAGACTTAGCGCTTAGATGATCGTAACTCCCATACTTTAACACTGACTTACGGCAGACTTAGCGCTAAGATGATCGTAACTCCCATACTTTAACACTGACTTACGGCAGACTTAGCGCTAAGATGATCGTAACTCCCATACTTTAACACTGACTTACGGCAGACTTAGCGCTAAGATGATCGTAACTCCCATACTTTAACACTGACTTACGGCAGACTTAGCGCTAAGATGATCGTAACTCCCATACTTTAACACTGACTTACGGCAGACTTAGCGCTAAGATGATCGTAACTCCCATACTTTAACACTGACTTACGACAGACTTAGCGCTAAGATGATCGTAACTCCCATACTTTAACACTGACTTACGGCAGACTTAGCGCTTAGATGATCGTAACTCCCATACTTAAACACTGACTTACGGCAGACTTAGCGCTAAGATGACCGTAACTCCAATACTTTAACACTGACTTACGGCAGACTTAGCGCTAAGATCGCTTTGTGGAACGGGGCCCAGGTGCTAAGTGTGTTGTTACCGGAAAAAGGATCGGTTTCATTCCTATCACATGTGGACCGAACTGGGCCAAAGCAAAGTCGTGAATGAGCGTCACCTGAACAACAGTCAATGCGGGTGACTTTGGGGCCAGTTGATTGCGTGAGTGAGAGCATGTTCTTCACGTCGCACTCAGCAAAATACCAGCTTTTTTTCTGAGGACAGCCGAGGGGTCGTCGAAAACTTTGAAAACTAGGGTCATATCGGAAATACTCAGATGAATCCCTTCACATTGATCAAGTGGACAATCTTTATAACGCATTTGGACTTGGGAAAATTTTCCGCGCACGCTTCGACCACTTTAAATTGTATGCGGGTGGACTATTTTTTCTCTTTGTCCCATTATTATAAACCTCCAGTGACGCATCCTATTGTTCTCTGGTCGGGTTAAATCTCATAAACAGGGACGGTGTAATGTCCCTGGGATTTTATAGGATATTCAAGTCAAATTTGCTATATAATGTGTTATAATATCCAATGGATTTTATATAATGTCCTGGGTATTTTATTTATACAACTTCGGTTCAGATTGTAACATGTAATGAAATGTAAAACCAAATGACAACTATTTTCTTTATATTCCCAAGAATCGAATACGCAACCTTCGTATCTGTAGCCCAGTGAGTGTACCACAAGGCTCCAGAGGCACTGATAAATCACAATGTTTTAAGGATGTCCTTTTCAAGATCCGTATGCCAGCAACAGATATTTTACGCCCGTTCCCTAATGTTCATGGAAAGTGTGTTCGAAACACAAAAATGTTGTTTTAAGTTTCTTTTTTCGGTTCATAAGTTAGATAGAACACTTCCCCTCGGGTTGTTAGTGATATTTAAAACCCTTTCCCTCGGAAAATCCCTCGGGATGCGGGTTTTAGATATCATAGCAACCCTCGGACGTGTTTTATCCTATACTGGCCTTTCTTTGTCAGTATTGAGATTACTGCCCAGGGTCTGCTCTTCACAGATACCATACAGTTTGGGTGTTTCGACAATGGTCTTAGAGTATAAGGGATTGCTGATCGGCAGTTACAAAAGAAAAACATAGACAAAATTGATGTTTTCAGTAATAAAGTTAATGAAGGCTATAAAGTATTTTAGTGGTTTTGATATATTTTTGTGATACTGTCGAATATGTTTATAACGCATGGTATGGTTGCCAGAGGGATCACGTGACAAGCCCCCAATGCATAATGGTTGGAAATTACGTTTGAATCCGGTTTGGACGTGTGCATATTTCACGGCGGCGTGTGTAAATAATCGTGTTTGGACGCGCATATGTCACGGCGGTCTGTGTTAATATTCGGGTTTGGATGCGCATAAATCACGACGACATGTGTAAATAATCGGGTTTGAACGTGCATATATCACGGCGGCGTGTGTAAATAATCGGGTTTGAACGTGCATATATCACGTCGAACTGTGTAAATAATCGGGTTTGGACGTGCATATATCACGGCGAACTGTGTAATAATCGGGTTTGGACGTGCATATATCACGGCGGCGTGTGTAAATAATCGGGTTTGAACGTGCATATATCACGACGGCATGTGTAATAATAAGGTTTGGACGTGCATATTTCACGACGGTATGTATAATAATCCGGTTTGGACGTGTGCATATTTTACGGCGGCGTGTGTAAATAATCGTGTTTGGACGCGCATATGTCACGGCGGTCTGTGTTAATATTCGGGTTTGGATGCGCATATATCACGACGACATGTGTAAATAATCGGGTTTGAACGTGCATATATCACGGCGGCGTGTGTAAATAATCGGGTTTGAACGTGAATATATCACGACGGCATGTGTAAAAATAAGGTTTGGACGTGCATATTTCACGACGGTATGTATAATAATCAGGTTTGGACGGGCATATATCACGGCGAACTGTGTAATAATAAGGTTTGGACGTGCATATATAACGGCGGCGTGTATAAATAATCGGGTTTCAACGTGCATATATCACGACGAACTGTGTAAATAATCGGGTTTGGACGTGCATATATCACGGCGAACTGTGTAATAATCGGGTTTGGACGTGCATATATCACGGCGGCGTGTGTAAATAATCGGGTTTGAACGTGCATATATCACGGCGGCATGTATAATATTAAGGTTTGGACGTGCATATATCACGGCGGCGTGTGTAAATAATCGGGTTTGGACGTGCATATATCACGGCGGCGTGTGTAAATAATCGGGTTTGAACGTGCATATATCACGACGGCATGTGTAATATTAAGGTTTGGACGTGCATATATCACGACGGCATGTGTAATAATAAGGTTTGAAGGTGCATATTTCACGACGGCATGTGTAATAATAAAGTTTGGACGTGCATATTTCACGACGGCATGTGTAATAATAAGGTTTGAACGTGCATATGTCACGGCGGCGTGTGTAATAAGGTCTGGACGTGCATATGTCAGGGCGGCATGTGTAATAATAAGGTTTGGACGTGCATGTATCACGGCGGCCTGAGTAAAAATAAGGTTTGAAGGTGCATATATCACGACGGCATGTGTAATAATAAGGTTTGGACGTGCATATATCACGACGGCGTGTGTAATAATAAGGTTTGAACGTGCATATGTCACGACGGCATGTGTAATAATAAGGTTTAGACGTGCATATATCACGGCGGCGTGTGTAAAATAATCGGGTTTGAACGTGCATATATCACGACGGCATGTGTAATAATAAGGTTTGGACGTGCATATATCACGACGGCGTGTGTAATAATAAGGTTTGAACGTGCATATGTCACGACGGCATGTGTAATAATAAGGTTTGGACGTGCATATATCACGGCGGCGTGTGTAAAATAATCGGGTTTGAACGTGAATATATCACGACGGCATGTGTAATAATAAGGTTTGGACGTGCATATGTCACGACGGCATGTGTAATAATAAGGTTTGGACGTGCATATGTCACGACGGCGTGTGTAATAATAAGGTTTGGACGTGCATATTTCACGACGACATGTGTAATAATCGTGTTTGGACGTGCATATGTCACGGCAGCGTGTGTAATAATAAGGTTTGGACGTGCATATATCACGGCGGCCTGAGTAAAAATAAGGTTTGAAGGTGCATATATCACAACGGCATGTGTAATAATAAGGTTTTGACGTGCATATATCACGGCGGCGTGTGTAAATAATCGGGTTTGAACGTGCATATATCACGACGGCATGTGTAATAATAAGGTTTGGATGTGCATATATCACGACGGCATGTGTAATAATAAGGTTTGGACGTGCATATTTCACGACGGCATGTGTAATAAT